CTGCCGCTCCTGCAGAACGGAGGCTGGGCGGTCCGCTCCGCTCCGCCGCCTGACTGCGGCTTGGGGCGGGTCGGTGTGGTTCTAGACAGCGCTGCCGCTCCTGCAGAACGGAGGCTGGGCGGTCCGCTCCGCTCCGCCGCCTGACTGCGGCTTGGGGCGGGCCGAGGCGCCGCGCCCGGGAAAGGCCGCGGGATGCTCCAGCCGCGGTCGGCGGGACAAGCCTGGGCTGGGGCCAGCGGAGCATCGCGGTGCGGCTGCACATCCCGCAGAGACCGGGTGGTTGTGATGACTGGCGGCAGCGTAGAAGGGCTACTCAATGTTTTCACGCAACTGAGACGGGATCCGTGTTAGCGAAATTAACGCTTTTCTATTTTTAACCAGAGTAAAGGTAGCTCCACCGAAATGGAGCCTCAAAAAATTTCTCGACACTCGTGCCTGTTCCTCTCCACGGAAATCTTTAGTAAAAGGCGAAAGATTTATACGATCTGAAGAGAAACCAGAGTATGCCTTCGGATTCCGCCCCGACACTGCCGCTGTCTGCTCCACCCCACAGAACACAGGGTGAGGCACGGCTGCCCCCGCGCCGCGCCCAGCCCCACATCCCCGGCCCAGCCCCGCGGGATGCACACACCGGGCAGCCCCCGCAGCCCGCGGCAGCGGCCCCAGCACCGGACACCGGCGGGGCCGGACACCGGCGGGGCCGCGGGGCACCCTGGGTATGCAAATCAGGCCGGTACCGGGGCGGGGCGGCCCCGGCGCAGCGGGGATGGCACCTCCCCGTTGGGGTCTAATGGCAGCTGGGCCCTCGCTGACCGCCCCCACCCCGCGGGTACAAGGGAGAAACGCGTGGGGTGAGGCTGAGGAGTTTAATAATTAAAGCAAAGTGGTATTAAATTGAAAATTGTGAGGAAAATAAAACAGCATCACAGAATGGTCTAGGTTGGATGGGACCTTAAAGATCGTCTAGTTCCCATCCCTGTGCCATGAGGAGGCACACCTCCTGCTAGACCAGATGGCTCAAAGCCCTCTCCAACCTGGTCTTCAGCACTTCCAGGGATAGGGCAGCCACAGCCTACCTGAGCAACTTGTTCCAGTGCCTCGCTACCCTCACAGTAAAGAATTCCTTTCTAATATTCAATGTAAATGTCTCCTCTTTTCATTTTAAAGCAATCTCTCCTGCCCTATCACTACATGCCTTTGTAAAAAGTAATTCTCTCTTTTTTTTTTTATATAGGTCCCTTTTAAGTATCGGAAGGTCTCAATAAGATCTCTCCAAAGACTTTTCTCTTCCAGGCTCCACAACCCCAAGTGTCTCGGCCTGTCTTCACAGGAGAGAGGTTCCAGCCCTCTGATCATCTTCATAGCCTCCTCTGGATTTGCTCCAACATATCCATGTCTTTCCTGTACTAGGGACCAGAGAGGTGGATTCAGCAGTGAAGGGCAGAATTGCACCTCTGCCTTGCTGCTCAGGATGCAGTAGGCTTTCTGGGCTCCAGCTGCTCACTCTTGGTTCATGTCCAGCTTTTCACCCATAAGAGCCCCCACTTCTTTCTCATCAGAGCTAGTCTCAGTGAGCTTTCCAGTCTGTGTTCTCTAGTTCTTCTTGTCTGGCATTGTCCAGACCCAGAGCTAGCACAGGGCGCTTGGACTTGTTGAACTTCATGAGGTTCTTGTGGGCCCAAGTTTGTCCAGGTCCCCCGAGATGGCAATAGGGGTGTCCTTCAGGTGTGTCACTCACACCGTTCATTCACCTTAGAAACTGGCTGTAGGTGCACTCACTCCTACTGTCTGTGTCATTGATAAAGATATTTTAAAAGATATTGAAAGCCCCAGCCAGTCCCAAGACACAGCCCTGAGGGACAGTGTTTGTCACCTGTCTCCACCTGGATAAAATGTTAATGTCCACAGCACCCTGATTGTGATAGTAAAAGTGTTTTAAAATCATGGGGATTTGGGGAGTCAGAAGGAAAATTAAGCTTAGCAGGCCCTGGGAAAATACCCTGGGAAAGTATAGGCCTTGTATTTGCTAGAACTGCACCTGTGTAGCTAGTACATGATAAACGATATAATTGTTAGATGTGATGATTGTTTAGTAATTAAATATAATTACTGTTTAATCGTAAGAATAATCAGGAGACACTGTAGTCAGGGGCTTGAGAAAGATCACAAGAAAGGTCAATGTATACAATAGAACAATATAAGTTTATTAATTAAAATGTAAGTTATATAATGATAGAATATAAAATACGTTCAGCTCAAAAGCCATGTCAGAATCAGATTTGGGTCTGTACCCGATTCCCAGAGCTCTATAATGAAAGCACCTGCATATAATCATATCCCGTGATTACGTGTGTTCCTGAACGCTAACAACTGCGCCCATCCAACTACCACTTATCCGAGCACATCTCACTCAGTTAATTCTGAGTACGCAGTACACCGCTCAGTCTATTTTTTAACCAGAGTAGGGGTAGCTCCACCGAAATGGAGCCTCAAAAAATTCCTCGACACTCGTGCCTGTTCCTCTCCACGGAAATCTTTAGTAAAAGGCGAAAGATTTATACGATCTGAAGAGAAACCAGAGTATGCTGCGAGCTGTCCGCACGCACACACCGTCCCCCGGCTGTCCCTCTCTAGCACACGGCGAGTCGCGGTGCCGTCTCCCCGTCCCCCGCCGCCGCGCTCTGTCCCCGTGGCACCGGCACGGATCCACCCGCGCCCGGCCGCAGCCGCCCCGGGAGCACCGGCGGAAAGCGCGACCGGGGCCGCTCCGCCGACGCGCAGCGCACCCTGGGTAGGGAAATAAATCTGAATACGAATACGTCACATGCTAATGACCCCGGCGCTGCACACCGGGCATGCAAATTATTCAGAATAGTAATGCCATATGCTAATGAGGCTGTCCCGATCCGCAGCCCTTGCGTGCGCTTAGCCCCGCCGCGGGACGCCGGGCCTGGGTAGCGGCTGGAGGCGGTCGCACGGTGACCCGCCGGACAGGAGGGACGGGCCCGCGGGCACAGCCGTGACAGTGCCCTGACAGAGCCCGCTCCGTGCCGGGCCCGCGGGCACAGCCCTGACAGAGCCCTGACAGAGCCCGCTCCGTGCCGGGCCCGCGGGCACAGCCCTGACAGAGCCCGCTCCGTACCGGGCCCGCGGGCACAGCCCTGACAGAGCCCGCACCGTGCCGGGCCCGCGGGCAGAGCCCTGACAGAGCCCGCTCCGTGCCGGGCCCGCGGGCACAGCCCTGACAGAGCCCGCTCCGTGCCGGGCCCGCGGGCACAGCCCTGACAGAGCCCGCTCCGTGCCGGGCCCGCGGGCACAGCCCTGACAGTGCCCTGACAGTGCCCGCTCCGTGCCGGGCCCGCGGGCACAGCCCTGACAGTGCCCTGACAGAGCCCGCTCCGTACCGGGCCCGCGGGCACAGCCCTGACAGTGCCCTGACAGAGCCCGCTCCGTGCCGGGCCCGCGGGCAGAGCCGTGACAGAGCCCTGACAGAGCCCGCTCCGTGCCGGGCCCGCGGGCACAGCCCTGACAGTGCCCGCTCCGTGCCGGGCCCGCGGGCACAGCCGCCCCGCCATTCTCCGCCGGCTCCGCTCGGCGCCGCCCGGGAACGCGCCGTGACGTCACCGCATCGCGAGAGCTCGCCCCGCCAAGCCGCCCCGCGAGCCCTGGCCCCGCCTCTTTGCGCCGGTGCTGCACCATGGGTGAGTGAAGGGCCGGGGCCTGCCGACATCCGCCGCCATCCGCCCGCTGCGCCGCCGCATCCGCCCCGATCCGCCACCGGCTGGCAAGCGGGGGCTGCCGCCTGCCTGCACCGTCCGCCATTGGGGGCGCCTGCAGTAGTGCCGAGCCGCTGGCGGGGGGAGGGTGAGCGGGCCCAACATGGCGGCCGGTGGATGATGGGGGCGGGCGGCCTCGTCTCGCCGTGCCCTGATTTCCTGCAGATCTCGAGCGCTGGGCGCGCTCCCGGTGTCTGCCGCAGATGAGCAGATGCGGGTGAGGTGGAGCGGCATTCAGCAGGAGGGATGCGGGCTGGCGTTGCGGAGCTGCGCGAGTTGGCAGCTTGGGCCATGCGGGAGGTGGCGTGTTCTGCAGATGGGCCCCATCGGGCTGAGTTCATTCAGGGTGTCTCTCGTAGGGGCTCAGCGGACAGGTGGGATGGGGGTCCCTTCCTATAGCGGATCTACCACATTCTGCCAGTAGCGTAGGATGATTGCGGTAGTGCGCCTGTCAGATCGGCGTCGGGCGCTTCCCAGAGAGTGCCCAGCACGCGAGGTACGTTGGGAGGCAGCTTCCCGAAGAGGACACGGAGGAAGGGGGTCTCTGCTTTGTACAGCTCTGCTGGAAGGGATGTGCTCGGGGCAGGTCTGAGTATCAATGATGAAGCTTCTCTAACTGCTGCATAAGGCTGAGTGCACTGTGCGGATACCAACCTTGGAGAGCTGAGGACTCAGAACCGCGCCCTGCTGCTGCAGCCGGCCAGGCTCGTGGCACCCTCTGATCGCACTGCTCTCCTCTCAGGTATCTCCAGGGACAACTGGCATAAGCGCCGCAAGACTGGGGGCAAGAGGAAGCCCTACCATAAGAAGAGAAAGTATGAGTTGGGGCGACCTCCCGCCAACACTAAGGTGAGTGATTGGACAGAGTTGGTCAGAAGCATATTCTCAAACCAGAGTTGCTGCTTTTGTGCTATTAGAGGTTTAAATTCCTGCTGTTTCATGTGGGGTTGAATATCTGACCCTGCTTCTCTAGAAGGTGGTGTTTGTCCCTCTGCCGGTGGAAAGCAGCAATACGTTTTTGCAATAAGGCAATTGGAGTGATGAAGCTTTCACCTTAGGTAGATGCAACAGACCGTTCTGGTCATTTACTGTATCTGCCGATGCTGGGGTTTGTCATAGTTACACTGACCACATTGCCTTGGAGGTTAGGGCTGTGCTGGGCTCCTGTGAGGGCCATGCAGCATTCCAGCACCAACGCAGCCTGGTGTTTGTTTCTGACTGCAGATTGGCCCACGCCGCATTCATACCGTGAGGGTGCGTGGGGGAAATAAGAAGTACCGAGCCCTTCGGTTGGATGTTGGCAACTTCTCCTGGGGGTCAGAATGTAAGTACGTGGTGAGCCCACTGCGTGGAAGGGAAACCTGTGCTGGTCTGCAGTACTGCTGCAGAGTAGAAGGACGCAAGCATGGATTTGTGGGCTTGGATTGAACATCCTGGAGCTGACAGCTGAAGCAGCATGCATGGTGATGATGATAACTTTGACCTTACGTGGCCTTAGGGGACCTGGATTTCCACTAAGTTCACAGTGGTAGGAGTGTCATAGTTACACTGAGTGACATGCTTACCTTTTTATGGGGGAGGGGGACTAAAAAGGGGCTGAAATACTATATATGAGTAGTTTTTCACAAACAGAAGCGTTGTTTATCCGTGAATTTTGTTACTAAAAGTTAAGTGATGTTGTGCAGCAGAGAAAGGTGCTGAGGATGCTTGGGAGAAGGCCTGACCCCAGGACAGTGTAACATTAGCATGTGTAATTCCATATTTCTGCTTTGCTAAGGAAAAGCAGGAAGCCCAGAAGTAAGAGGGGGATTCTGTTGTATTTCCCCAGAGCAAGGTGGGTTTTCTTTGCTTTACAAGCTGACAATAGAATCACTTGAGCCTGAGCCCAGTCAGTGTTGCTGGGTAGGATGGTAAAACAGGAGCAAGGAAGGTGATGAGTTAGTGACCTGCAGTGGTGTGAGGGAACAGGACGTTTTCAGTTATTTCACAGCATTGTCTGTGCACTGAAAAATACCATTACAGTCAGTATTGCACATATGAAGAGGTTGAGCATACCTTGCAACATGGACAAGGTACGTGAGTGAAGGGAGAAAACCCTCCTTGTGCATAATCCTTGCGTATCTTGAGGGCTGTTTTCAGGACAGGTGACTGCTAAACAGTCCAGTAGCTAAAACTGCATGCTTCAGGTGGGTCTTGCAAGGGTGAAAACACCAGCTTCCCTTCTCAATTTACTCACAGACCCTGATCCTATAGGAATGGGTTCTGGAATGTGTTTCAGGACAGCCCCACTCAGTGTGGCTTAATTCAGTAATTCTAGCAAGTGCATACAGCATTGAGCCCTGTGTGCAGTGTTGGTTGGCATCTGCTGATCTTGCTAGTCTGGAAATTTTAGGATTGCTTAGATCTTTTTGAGATGAGTTCCAGCAAGGCCACTGATCCTGGTTTTTTGTGTAGGAGGGATTTCATTTCCAGGTGTAGATTTCTGTCCTAACAGAAAGTTTGACAGATGAAAAATAGATGGATCTTCTAGTTAAATTTAATTCAGTGCCAGGCAGGCTGGAAGATACTGGATGGGATGTTGAGTGCAAAGTTATTTAAAGGGTATTTGTGAGATGCTATGAGCCAAATACTCAGCTGTCTGATCCCTGTAGGTCTGAACTCATGCTCTTCTCTTGAAAGGCTGCACTCGCAAGACCAGGATTATCGATGTTGTGTACAACGCTTCCAACAACGAGCTGGTGCGGACCAAGACCCTGGTGAAGAACTGCATCGTGCTGATTGACAGCACCCCGTACCGGCAGTGGTACGAGGCCCACTACGCCCTGCCCCTGGGACGCAAGAAGGGCGCCAAACTGGTACGCCTGGGGTTGTCCTTTTGGCTCCTGACACAGCACTCTGCCCTGCCACAGCAGCTCCCATCCTGAACAGACAGTGGCTGCCAGAATAGGGTTGGGTACCCAGCATTGCTTATCCCAGTTGTGTTCCCATAGGTTCCCAGGATAAGTCTGACTCTCTTAATGGAGTGCTCAGTAGCAGGAGCTCTCCCGGAAGCATTACACCCGTTTGTGCACAAGGACCTGCCTTTTGAGATCTTTGTCTTCTAATGATGATACCTTTGTCCAGTTCTGCTACTGAAGGGAGAGCGATGACAATTTAGGATGCTGAGGAAGACTTCATAAGTTGGGTTCTTGTGCTGGGTAGTGATTGCTTTAGTGAGAAGCTTGGGGATTGCTCACTGAACTTCAGTGTGTTTTTAAGTGTCTTGAAACTACACTGAGCCATTAATCTGAGACTTGAACCCTGGACTGCCGAAGGTATTTAAAACCCCACATGTAGCATTCAGATAAATCCTTGTATTAAAAGCAAAGCAGTCCTTGTTTGGATGCTGTATAATGCAGAAGCAGAGGGAAAGCTCATCTGCCTTGGACTATGCACCCACACCCGAGTGCTTTCATTGTTTCTGCAGAGGGAAAGAGTATTCACTGCTTTTTGTAGGAGGAGTGATTCACCAGGGAAACCGTTGCAGTTTCATTGATTTGAGAACAGCCTTCCTTAGGGCAATGTGCTCAGTTGTCACCAGTGACTCTGGTTAGCAGTGTTGTGTTTCTTGGTCTCAAAAGTGAAATGCAGCACCTGGTTCTGTGAGATCAAATTATTTGTACCTCTGCCAGGTATGACTTTAAGCACAGTACAGTGCTGAGAATACAAGGGTTTCCTTCATGGTAGTGGAAAACAACCTGTGTTAATGGAAGGTGGCCATGTGTAAAACAATTTTTCTTGCTTTTGGTTTTGGATTTAGACTCCTGAAGAGGAGGAAATACTGAACAAGAAGCGTTCAAAGAAGATCCAGAAAAAATACGATGAGCGAAAGAAGAACGCCAAGATAGCAAGTATTCTTGAGGAGCAGTTCCAGCAAGGAAAGCTACTTGGTGAGTCCCTGGCAGCATTAATATAACTTGTTCTTTAATCTTCTCCAGAGATACCCCACTTGTTGGCAGGATGGGGAAGTCTGGCTAGCCAGGCTTCTGTCGTTGATTATTCCTGTTGGGGCTTTGAGAAGGAAACGGGGCTCAAGACTAGCAAAATGAGCAGATGTGTGTCAGAAAAATGTGCCACAGGCATCTAAGAGCTTTGATGTTTCAAGCTCTGGCAAACATTTGAGTGTTCTGAAGTCTTCTGGTGATGAGACCTTTGTCCAGTTCTGCTACTGAACCCGAGCGATGACAGTTTGGAGATCTGAGGAGGACTTCATTAGGGACTGCAGCTTCCAGAGCATGGTGCCTCAGGCAGAGGTGCTGCTCAGGCACAGGCACAGGACCTGGTGACTCGGTCACTGATGAGCCACTCGTCCGTGCTGCTGCAGAGGCTGCGTGCAGTGTGTGCTCTTTGGTGTGTGCACTGGGGTGGGGAATTGCTAAACTTTAACTGGGTGGCTTCTCTCTCCTTGCAGCCTGCATTGCCTCCAGACCTGGACAGTGTGGCCGAGCCGATGGCTATGTGTTGGAAGGCAAGGAATTAGAGTTCTACTTGAGGAAGATCAAGGCCAGAAAAGGCAAATGAATAAAAACTGTTGTGCTAAGAGAACGAATAAAACCAAGAGTCTGCCACCGTAACAGGTTGTGTGCTCGTTTGTGTGTGCAGTATGGAGAGGGCTTCTGTAGCTTCACCTGCCCTGTAAAATGTGAAGGAAGATGGAACTCTAGGAATCCCTGAGCCCTTTAACATCTTCAGGCAAAACTTGACCCTGCACGTGCTCAATTAAAACATCTCAGTGGGTTCTAAGTGACTTGCAGGACCAAGTGTGTGTGAAAAAGAGTTGTCAGATTTGACAGAACTGGGAAATGTCCAATATTGGAAACCTGTGAGCAGGAGGTAGGTGCAAGTGTGCACCTCCATTAAAACTTCTGGGTTCTGAGCTCCTGAGGTCTGTGCACAGTTCCCCCTTGTTCCTGTGCTGTGTTAGGTTAGCAGGTGCTAACCCACATGCTCATGGGGTGTTGGAGAGGTCAGTGGGGAAATGGGCTAAGTCTGGCTGAAAACTTGGCTATTACACCTTCAGCCCCTGCAGCTGGTAGCTCATGCCTCTGCCTTCCACATTTCATGAGCTCCCATCCCCTGGTTCAGGCCAGCAGCCCCTTTTGGTATTTCCTGCCTGCTTGTACAATTCCCTGCAGGATCCAGTATCTTTTAACCAAACTAGGTGGCACTGCTCAATGACCAGCTGGTCTTCCCCTGACCTCCTTGGTCTCATTCCAGTGCGAGATCAATTCCTTCTAGCAGAAGGGCCAGGCTCACATCATGGTCTGTCCTTTTCGAAAGCTGGATACAAATTCCAGCTTTGTGCCCTGTCATTTGTGATGGAATTGGAAAGCTGTGGTGAACAAAAGCTTTTCTGGATGTTTTTGGTGATAACCATTCCTAGAGGTTCCTGTCCTTAAAGAAGGTAAATCTCTGCAAATAGTTGCTCTTTGTGCAGGTATTGGGGGAAGTCAGGAGCTCATCTGAGGGCTGGGCCTGTGCCGTGGGGCGGGCCAGGCTCGCACACTTTGTGCCTGTCAGGTGAACAGATGCACATTTCATCCCATTTGTGTGTTTTTACAAAAGCCTCATTTATCCATTGGATCACTGGTGCAAGTCAGGCTTCCTGCAGGCCCCAGCATCACAATCTTTAGCTCTGAACTGAAGGGAGGTGGCCCGTGATCATCTTGCCCAAAGGAGAGTTGTAGTGAGACTGAAGTCTCATGCTTCAAAAATGCAACTCTGTCCCTCTAAATAGTTTTGCAGGGAGGGGTTTAAGTTTTTTTCCTGTGGTGCTGTGCCGTGTTTGGCAGGTATAACAGCAGGAGGTGCCCTGGGGAGTGTGGGTTCATCCTGTGTTGCTGGCAGGGAGGTGAGCATGAGTCAGTGCCAGAGCTGAGCACTGCAGACTGGTACCTGCTCTGATGACCGTGGCACAGGCTGGGTCTGTGCTCTGTGCACTGTCAGCAGAGCTGAGCCCAGCTGGGTGCCACTGCAGTCCAGGAGTCCCTGGGCTGGGTGGGATGTTTTCACAAGCACATTCCTTCTCCATAGTGATCCGGTGTAAACTTTCCCTGCTCTCCAGCAGCGCCTGCTTTCCAGAGAGGTGGAGTGGAGGCGATAAGCACGCTTGGCAGGGATGTGTCATTGCTGCTTCCTCTGAGCGTGTTTCTTCTCTCCGTCATCCTCTGTAGAATGCAAACAGCATTCAGGGTGTTTCTGGGGAACTTTGTACAGTTGGAGAAACTGACTTTATGGAGCAAATGCTGGCTTGATGTCAGGGCAGGATTATAAACCTGTCCCCTGATGAACAGGATTATGGCTCATCAGTGTGTGCTGCTTAGAAAGTTACTACTCTGAGAAACACAGCTGCCAAGGGCAACTGCCCACAGGAACAAAAGTGGCACCTGCAGGTGTGACATGGGAACAGCAGTGGCAGCTGGCCGGGGTGTGTGGCACTTCACTCCCGAAGTGGTGCATGCACAGCCCTATAGATGGCACAGGGATTTACCTGCCTGGGAGTGGGCAAACCTGCTATGCACTGAGCCAGGAAGTGATGGGCTGGGGCTGGGGTTAAGCACAGCTTTAGCCTGGCTAGAATTCAGAAGTGCAAAAGCCTAGGCTGAGGACTTTACCCACTTCTGACAGGTGGAGGGTCTGAATTTAAAAATAGTTACTTGCATAGGATGATCAGCTGCCGCATAAGCCAGGTGAAGTCCCTTGTTATGTGTCCTGCTCCTTGCTGTTGAGTGGCTCTCAGCTCCACACAGTATTAACTTTGGGGTATTTTCACAGGACATGATCCAACCCAGGAAATGACCTTGTGGTTACATTTCAATAGATCCAGCAGTGACCTGGAAGGCAGTGGAGGAGAAGCAGGGCTGGCTTGTTGAGGGACTTTGTCAGCCTTAAAAGAAGGGGGACTTGAAGGAAAGGGAGCTTTTAAACTAATATTCTTGGGGAAAACGTGTCTGAGTGTGCCAGGGCTGTCACAGACAAAGAACACGGGACACTGGGTTTGGTCACACCTCCCTGCACCTGTCACAGATGGAGATTTGGGTGGGGGCTGCAGCAAGGGCTGGACAGACCCACTGGGGTAATTTGGGTCGCACCCTTTGCATCAGCCATGGCATCTGAATTTAGGCTTCATGAGAAGGAGGGAAAGGACAGGATGTTACATCATTCCCAACAGCCCTAGGAATGGGACCCCAGGGTACATGAGCAGAGGGGGCAACCATGGAAGGGCATTTCTGGAGCACAGGTGAAAAATGCAACTGTTGTTAGCCCTAGTCAAAATCTGCAGCCATGGGCTGGGCTGCAGCCCCTGGAGACCACTGCTAACCCTGCCTGTCCTGCCTTTGCCCTGTGGCAGCTTCTGGTCCCTCTGTTCCTGTGGGGATGTGGGGGTGGCATGAGCCAGGGTACACTGAGATATGCTGGCTGTAGTACTTGGCACAGAGTGGTGAAGGGATATTAAAGGCTGGGATACTTTCCCAGGGCCCAGGAGGGAGCAGGGAAAGAAGTCCAGCTGGATATCAAACAGGGAAACATCCATGAGTGGCAGGAGACATGAAGGGGAATCATCCTATCCTTGTCCCCAGACCATGTGGGGCTGGGACTGAGCAGTCCCACCACGGGCTGCTGGAAGCCCCAAGCACTCTGCAGGAAACACCACTTCCTTTGCCGGCCGGAGCACCACGTCCCGCCCTGCCCAGCTCCCTCCCTTCCTGCCTGGGCACCAGGCCCAGCACGGCTCCAGAGCAGGCAGGGTGGCCAATGCAGCTTCCAGCCTGGAGAACGTTCCCCTGGGCAGGAGGAGCAGGACTCAAGGGTGCCCCCCCTGCATCTGCAGAGAAGGGCTGGAGCACCATAGGGGAGACTTGGGGGTGCCTGTATTGGGCACTGATTTACAGCATCCCCAGCCTTTGCTCTGCTCCCAGGAGCCCCACAAATTCTTGCTTTGTTCAGGATCTGTGGCGTTTGCAGCAGGCTGACGCCTTCCCCACCCCTGTTGTAAATCCTGGTACAAAGCAAAGGCTCTGCTGGATTTTAGCCAGTGCCCAGCTCTGCTCTGCCAGAGCGACAAAGAGGCTCCAGGGATGCTGGGCAAGACCCTCACTGGGCCATCCAGGGCAGGGGAGGGTAGATGGGATAGGAGTGAAGTCCACCATCCCTGCACTCCCCACATCCCCAAAGCACAAAGGGATGAAACCACACTGCCAGGAGTAAAATGATATATTTCTTACTGAGAGCTGGATCCTACAGGGCTGTCTGCAAGGGGCCTGATGCCGCTCTGTTTGTGTGTGCACTTCACACACCCACTCCCACAAGTGTGCACACACACGTGCCATGAAGCAGCACATGTGCCAGTGTGGGGTGGGCAGCAGGCAGAGCCACCACAGGCTTCCCCTGACAAGCCCAGGGCACCCCATCCAAACGTGACACCCCCTGCACACCACACAGGCAGGACCAGCCCTGTTTCATGTCTCCAGACCGTGTTCTGTGCAGGCTGGAGAGCAGCACGTCTGTGCCAGACACCGTCTGGCTCCAACAAGAGAAGAAGCTCTGGTCAGTGGGTCTGGCACTCACAGCATCATCACTTGATCCCCAAAACCAGCCCCCACCTTCCCTGCATGTCCTTCCTCAGGCACCACCAGCCTGTGGTAGGGTCTCCAGAGCCTGAAGCACCCTTGCAGCCTTGCCCAGCTGCAGCACATGGCAAGCGAGGGATTCACACGATAGCACAGGGGAAGGGATGGGTATTTGGGGGTGCAGCTTTGCAAACAGCCACTGTCAGCCACGGCAGGACAACTCATGCCTCCCTTGCTCTGGTGGCTTTCACTCCTGCCCAGCCCCTGGCATCCTACTGGTGTGTCCAGACACAGCCCAGGTCCTGGCATCAGTGCAGGTCGATGGTCTCGTACTCCAGGTTGTCCGAGTCCTCCAGCTCGATGCCGGGTACCAGGTTGTAATAGCTGGTTGTGTGACTCATGTAGATCTTCTCCCGGTCAGCAGAGTCCTTCAGGACTTCACTCACACTGACAGTGTCCACCTCTGGCTCACTGCCCAGCTCCTCTGCCCTTGGTGCTGGGGTGCCCAGCTGCCCTTCATGGGATGGCACCTGGGAACTGCTGGGGGATCCCACCTGGATCTCCACCTCCTCATAGAGGTCTCTGCCACTCTCCAGTGGATCCACGAAGGGCTGGAGCACAACCTGCTTCCCCAGCAGCACTTTCTTCTCAGTCTTGGAGGGAGCAGCAGGCAGCTCATAGGGGATATAGTGGTGGGGCTCTGCAGACACTGGCACGTCGCTCCTCTCTGCCACGGCCCGGTGGCTCTGGGACCTGCCCTGAAGGCTGTAGTTGGTCTTTTTCTTCTGCCGGCAGAAGCACCAAGCGATGCTGGTGAGGATGAGGAGAGGGGGCAGGCAGATGAAGAGGGCGGTGAGGCCGTGTGAGCGGCACAGCTCATCCCGGGGGATGCTCCGGAGCCCCACACCGTGGTAGTGCTCTGGTGTGTGGCAGATAACCTCAGCAGCCTGGCTGGACCAACCCTCCAGGTTGGTTAGCAAAGCACAGCTGCAGTCCCAGCTGTTGTTGGAGAGCTGAAGCTGGAGCAGAGATGGCTTCAGGAGGCTGGCAGGAAGAAAGGTGAGAGCATTGAAGCCCAGGTAGACCTCCTGGACCTGGGAAGATGCTTTCAGGAAGGACCTGGGTAGCTCCTGAAGCTGATTGCTGTCCAGATAAAGAACCCTCAAATTAGGGGCATTTTCTAGAAAGCTTCCAGGGAGACTTTCCAGCAGGTTGTGACTTAAGTGTAAGATTTCCAAGGCAGGAGGGACTCCCTGTGCGTTGCTGATGGCCGTGATGCTGCAGTGGGAGAGGTAGAGCTCCCGCAGCCCCTGCACCCCCACCAGTGCACCCCAGTCTAGGTGGGTGATGTTGGAGCTGGTGAAGTTGAGGCAGCAGCTCTCGGGGAGCGGAGCCTCCCGGAAAGCCTGGTAGTCCATGGGCTCCGAGCAGTTGCAGATTGGCGGTGCTGGGTCGAGGGCAAGGCCGGCAGCGAGCAGGAGGCTGCCCCAGAGGGACGCGGTGCCCAGCCCGGCGCCTGCGGGGAGAGAGAGGGGACGGTGACTCCCTGTGCCACCTGCCCTCCCGCTCCCTTTCTCCAGCCTTCCCGGCGGGGGAAAGTGAACCCCACTTCTCGTCCCCACCGCGAAAGGACCCTCCCGCCGCAGGTCCTCCCGGAGCCGTCCTCCGGTGCCACCGTCCCCGCCAGCCCGGGGCTGCCTCTCCCGCCGTGTCCCGCTGCTCCGGCGGGTGCCCGCGGGCAGCGAGCGACCCCCGGAGCCACGGCCGTGCCCCCGTGCCCTGCCCGGCCTCACCTGCCGCCGCCCGCCCCATCCTCCGGGGCTGCTCCGCGTCCCGCCGCGCTCCCGCGGGCGCGGCCGCCGGCTCCGCCTCGCCGCGGGGCGGCCCCGCCACATCCCGCCCCGGCCCCGCCGCCGTCCGGCCCGGCCCTGGTCGCCCTTCAGCCCCCCCGTGCCCTCGCAAGGGTCCCGCCAGCCGTGGGCCTGTGCAGCGGTACCCCCAAATTACTCTTGACCCAGCTCCCCTGCAGTCAATCAACCCGGGGTCCCCCCTTATTCTGCCCTCCTCCATAAACCGTAGTTCCTCCATAAGCCATAGCTCCATAACCCATTCCTTCATCACCCTTCCCCTCTGCATTCCCCAGAAAGAATGTCCCTTCCCAACCTCTCCCGCTCTGCCCCGCCAGAAGCCAGGTGTCCCTCCAGTCCTGTCTTTATTCCATCATCAGCCCCCCCCAAACACCTGGAAAGGGGCTGGGCTGGGCTCTGCTGAATTTGTCTTCCTCCTGGGATGGGGAGAGGGTTCTGCCCGGCTGGGTGCAGCTGCCAGCTCCACTGGGGAAAGGATGCAGAGTGCACATTCTTGCCGGATGGGGACCAAAAGGGGAGCATCGCACTCCATCACGGGACCCCTTATAAATTCCCTTCATCCCACCCAAGTCCCAGGCCAGTAGTAAGGAGGAGCAGAGTCAGACATGAGCACTACATCCCTCAGAAAAGCAGTGCTGGAGAGGGGAGCTCTGTTTTCACACCCTGAAAGTGCATGTGCACTCACTACAGGGTAAATTGGGTAAACTGATGCACATGGCATGTACCAACAGCTCTTTGCTTGGGTGCCGATGTAGATGGGTAAGACAGGACCTGGGCTGAACGTGTCCAGTACTGTGGTGCCTTGTGCCCCAGTTCCTGGGGTGCCTTGGCTCCTGTTGGTGCTGGTTCTTCCTTCACCAGCTCACCCAAGGGACCAACCACTCTCTCCATCCTCCTCCTTGGTGGCTGCAGCCCCATGCTTTGCAGAGCTGTGCTGAGGGATGGGAACACCCCACTCCTGAGGGTGTCAGGGCTGTCACCCCAGTCTTGGGGAGCTTGTCTGCACCCCGATGCTTGGCTGGTGTTGCTCTTGCAGCCGAGGCACTGCATGCAGGGCACACAGCAGGGCACACAGCAATGCAGGACACACAGCAGGGCACACAGCAATGCCCTGCAGCTGCCCTGAGAGGGCAGCCCTGGTGCAGGCGTGAGCTGGCAGCTGGGTTCAGCTCCCCTGCTGTGATATTTTACCACATGCACAAGGGGAAAAAGGTTTCCTAATATCTAGATGGAATTTCCCTTGATGCAGCTTGCATTGTGTGCCTGTCATGATTTTACTGTACACAGCCCCAAAGAGCCTGACTCCCTTTTCCTATAACTCCACCTAACTAGCTGCGGACAGTCAGGAGTTCACCCCAGAGCCTCCCCTTCCCCAGGTCCAACAGGCTGGTGATCTTAAACCACAGCTCCTCCCACTGCCCCAGATCAGTGACGGGAAAACCCGTGATGAGATGCTGTGCATCACAGGGGACCGGGGCTGCAGGCGGCGGGGTCTGCTCCCAGGCTCCGTCCCTCCTGGAGAGGAGGTGCCTCAGCCTTGGCAGGACATGGGCTGTGGGGCACATCTCTGGCCCAAGGACTCAGCCAGGGGCAGTGGGGAGCAGGAGCACGGATGGTAGCTCTTGGTCCTCGCAGGTCCCCGTGTCCCTCTGTGGGAAATCCCAGGACAGTCCCTGTCTGTCACATCATCCCCAGACAGGTCCCCGGAGCCCTCCTGGGTGCCTCCACCCACACACTGCCTTCAGACGCTGACTCAGCTCCGGAGCTGGGGCCTCCATCGGAAAACCTGTGATGCCACCGGTGCCCGGGGAGCCCCGGGGCCGCGATGGAAACAGGCAGCTCCCCTCAGGGGCAGCAGCATCCCAGCCTGCTCCTGAGCCATGTGTGCTGATGGGCACTGAGTCTGTGTGCTTCCCCTACGAAAGCTGGAAACACAAGAGAAAAACAGTCAGATATGTGCTGTTTCCTCTTTGTCTTCAGGCAGGTTTTCTCAGTTTTTCGGCAGAAAAAAATACAGAATTAATTCATCCCCAGTACCCTAGGGTGAAAGGGGATGTGGGATGTGCTGGGAAGAACGGGGCTGTTTCCTGGAGTGCTCATATAAAACCATCAGCATATTCTGGAGCACAGTGCGGCCAGAGCCCTGAGCAGCAGTGGGGAGAAACTGAGGCACGGGATGGTCACAGAGTCACCCTGTGCGTGGTGTGAGCAAGGGAAGGACAGCGGGAAGATTGAGGAGCACTTGCTACACTGCTGCTTCAGACTCGGGGGGGGGGTGTGGGGTGTGAGTTTGCGGCCACCTCTGGCAGCTCCCACGCCCGTGGGGAGGGAGAGATGCCAAGCGCCGGCTCCCAGGGCCCGTTCGGGCGGCAGCGCGGCGTGCGCTCGTCGCGGCCATCAGGGAGCAGCAGCGGCCGCCGCTGCTCGCCCTGTCAGCCGGGCACCCGCGGCAGCACAGCCCCCGGGCACCGAGCGGCAAGCGTGGATCCCACCAGCTCTGCATCTTCCGCTGGTCCCTGTGCGCCCAGCGCCCCAGCTGCGACCCCCTCTGCTGCGCCCTGGCGCAGAATGAAAGGATCTTGGGGAGTGGCCACCTGCCTCCAAGTTTGTCATACGGCAGGGAGGGACATGTCCGGGCCCACAGGAAACACAGGGGCTTTGAAAACCCTCCCTGGGCCAAAACCTTCCCATGGGGAGGAGGTGTGAGGACCGCAGCTGGGCGTGTGGCGCAGGCTGGGAACACCTGTGAGGGGAAACACCCCGTGAGAAGGTGTTTTGTGTGTGTGTGTATTTACAGATGTGCATGGGAGGCGGCTGTGAATGTCCTGGGAGACAGGGGACGGAGCTCTGCGCGTTTGCGGGGTCTCAGCGTGACCGTAGCAGAACCCCGAGTCAAGGGGAGGTTGTCCCTGTCCCTAGGATGGGGATGCAGCTTCTGAGGGACATCACGGTGTGCGCAGGGGTGGGCCCCGTGCAGCGGAGGCAGCGAGCCGCTAACGGGGCTGCATCCCGGGTGTCACAGCTGGCAGCGGGATGCCCGCGCATTCCCGGAATTCCGAAACCCTTCCCCGGTGCTGCGGCCCCTTTAAGGGCAGCACGGGGCCGCCCGGGGGCGGAGCTCAGCCGGTGACGTCACCGCGGCCCTGATAAAGGCGGCGGGATTCCCGGGACGGCAGCGGCGGCGCGCGCCGGCGGGGCCACGTGCGCGGGGCGGCGGAGCCCCGGGACCCTCCCGTCCTCCCGCGCCGCCATGGACTCCGCCGGCCTCTTCCCGCCCTTCCCCGCCGCCGCCCTCCCCGCGCGGCCCGCGCCCGCCCCGGCGCCCCCGCCCCGCGCGGCCGAGACCACCCGCATCATCACCGACCCGGTCTCCGGCCGCTCCTACTGCAAGGGCCGCCTGCTGGGAAAGGTACCGGGAATGGGGAAAGGGGGCTGGGCCGTCGCGGGGGGCAGCGGCTGCGCCGGGGTGAGCCGGTGGGGACGAGGGGAGGGGCGGGGGCTGCGCGCCTGCTCGACCCCCCCCCACCCCGGGCCGCCCGGGGCTGGATGCAGCCCCCCGGCCGCCGCCCCCACCGTCCCCGCCTCGCCCGGCGGGCCCGCAGCAGTGCTGGAAGCCGTGAATCACCCGGGCTGGCTGCGTGCCTTGGCGGCTATCGGAGCCGCATCGGTTTCGGGGCGCCCCGCGGGGTGTGCGTGGGCCGGTGGGTGCCCCGGTTCCCAGGGGTGCCGGCTCGCACCGCTCCGCCGCACGCAACTTTTCCTCCGGCTGACAGCAGCGTGTGTAGGAGGAGGATGCCGGTTCCCAGCCCGGCCCGAGTGGGCTCAGCGGCTGAGTGTGCAGATTGGAGGGTGACATCACGGCAGGAAAAACCTGTCTCCATGGGGCTGCCTTTCGATGGCCTCCGGTCCCCGGGCTTCCTGCCCTGCGCAGGACTTTCCAGGTTGATCTATCATGTGGAAAGATGCAAAGTCCGGCCGTAGTGGGAGGGAAAATGCCCTGGAGGTTTTACAAGAAATGGGTGAAGAAAATGCCTGGTTGAGAGCATCATAGTTCAGATCTTAGTGGGCGACTCAGCAGGAGGGAGCGTGTGACGCTGCCAGGGAAGGGAGGAGGAGGCTTGTAAGCAGACAGGGGTAAGGAGCTGTCTCCCACCCACCCGTAACCACCTCTTCCCTTGCAGGGTGGGTTTGCACGATGCTATGAAATGACAGACCTCTCCAGCAACAAAACCTATGCCGTGAAGGTCATCCCGCACAGCAGGGTGGCTAAACCTCACCAGCGGGAGAAGGTGGGTGCCATGCAGCTGGTGGGGTGCTGGGGAGCAGCAGCTCACCTGGGCTCATCTGACACTGCTGCTCTCTCACAGATCACCAATGAGATCGAGCTACATCGGGACTTGCACCATAAGCACATTGTCAAGTTCTCCCACTACTTTGAGGACTCGGAGAGCATCTACATCTTCCTGGAGCACTGCAGTAGGAAGGTCAGTGCTGCTGTGGCCTCCTTGTCAAAGGATCTCCTAGACAGCCATAGCTGCTTGGAGCAGGCCTTGCGGAGGTGTTCGTTAGCAGTCCCCTTCTCCTGAGCTGTCACACCCTCTGAGCTCACCCTAAGCAGAGTGGTTTTGCACGGCACTGGGCACTCCAGCAGCTCTGTCTTTCTTGGACTGCCTGCTCATGGTGTGGCCACCATAAGTCCAGAGGTTCCCATGGCTCTGACGAGCAGCCTCAACCTCATGTGGGGAGTTGGCTGAGGTCATGGCTGTGAAAGAAGGATTATTTGTGAATGTGCAACTTCTGGAAGAACTGGCTTTGACCCTGCCTACCCTGTGCCTTGTCAGCAGGGCTGTCTGTTCTCCCTTCCTGCATCACAAGCTGTCTTCTCTCCCTTTGCAGTCCCTGGCCCACATCTGGAAGGCCCGCCATACCCTGCTGGAGCCCGAAGTGCGCTATTACCTCAAACAGATCATCT